ATTAAAATACAAATCTTAATATTTTCTTTTTTTTACATTAGAATGTCGGTGTGATGCATTCTAATGTACGCATGTATATGAAAAAAAAACATTTATTCAGTTTAGGCTGTTACAAGCACTCATGAATGTCTAGAAGCTACGCCATCGGTTCGTTTTTCGACGGGCGGGAGACCTTGTACTGAGAAGAACCGACAAGGGCTGTTTTTGTCTCCCTGTATTATTATTTACAGTTGAAAAATGACTTCAGAGATGATTCATGAAGTCACCTTTCATTACATAATGATTAAATATACATTATGTGTTTACCTGCATTTTGATTGCTGTGTCATACAGTATAAATAAAAATAATGTTATTTATATTAAGTGTAACTAAATATTTAACATCTTCAATATCAAGGAAGTTAGGGCAGACTGATCTCCGCTGGCAGCACCCGTTCACGAGCATGCCGCATGAACCAGCCATCGCTTCACTGCGGTTAGGTTAATTTAGATGGCCTAGGGACCTCCTTTTAACCGGCTTATTTAACCAGATAACTGCTGCGTCATATCCACTAGTATTATACCAATGAGAAGCTCGATGGCACAAGTGGTTAGCGCGTTCGGCTACGATCGTTGAAGCTAAGCAACTTTCGCAGTGGTTGGTCATTGGATGGGTGACCAAAAATTTACTATCTCGAGTTCCTCCGTGCTTCGGAAGGCACGTTAAGCCGTTGGTCTCGGCTGCATCTGCAGTCGTTAGCACCCGCCAATCCGCACTGGGCACGCGTGGTGGGTTATGACCCAATCTCCCTATTCCATCCATGGGGAAGGCCTGTGCCCCAGCAGTGAGGACATTAATAGGCTGATGATGATGATGATGATTATACCAATTACCAACGTGTAGAGATAAAAAAAAATACCTGACCCTATGAAATAGTAGCTCTATTCTATACGTAAGTAGGTGGAGAACGTTTCTGTAAACCTTGTTAAAGCTGCTCTTTCTAATGTACTTCCGGAGCGAAATAAATCTAGAAAGACATCTTGATTTGTTCACATAGTCCATGAGTTCCTACCTACCGTGTACTCTGCAACAATGTTATAAAATTTTTAAAAAAAAATAGTGCTAAAACACTTCACATGGGGAGGTGGAGCATAGCGGGTTCTCCGTTTGTATTGGAGAACCCGTCTGCTGAAGTAACATCCATCTTACAGGAGACCACGATAAAATAACACTACTTTTTAGTGGTATTGTGTTTCTCTCGATGATTAAGGTTTCATGGCTCCACGGGGTAGGGGATTGGGTCAGGGTAGGCAATGGCGCGAGTGATGTTTTCAGTATTGCAAGCGTCTTAACGTCTTTGACGACCTCCGTGGCCGAGTGGTTTGTACGCCGGGTTTCATGGCGTCGCCGTCTCGAGAGGTCCCGGGTTCGAATCCCGGCGGGGGCAGATGTTTGTGCGATGAACACGAGCATTTGTACTCCAGTCATGGATGTTTAATATGTATTTCTATATAAATATATTTATATATGTAAAGTATATGTATTCTATCCGTTACCCTAGTATCCCATAACACAAGCCTTACAGTGCTTACTTTGGGGCTAAGCTAATTGGTGTGAGTGTAGGAAATATTTATTATTATTTATTTATTTATCTTAACACTTCTATGGTGGCCGCTACATATCAAGCTATCAGACAAATTTTCCTAAATTACATGAGTATCTTCTTATTTTATGTTTTTAGCATTTAACTGCTACAAAATATGTGTTTTCTTTTCTTGTCATATTTTGATATTGTTGCTCTCTTTCCACAAAATTAGTGTTTTTTATATATATAAAATATCCATTCCTTCCCTTTCTACTATTATAACTTCAAACTATGCTAAAAATAATTTGATTAAACATATAAATAAGGATTTTTTTTAATTTAAAAAAATGTAAATAGCCTCAAGAAGGGATCATAAATAGTCAAAATTCAACAAATCGACTTTAAAAAAATGTAAATAGCCTCAAGAAGAGATCATAAATAGTCAAATCGACGGGTCAGGTTTCCGGATATTTAACCGATTGCGAAAAAGGACGTTTATTTACAAGCATTTTTCGCGTGTTATGCAGCTCTCGCGTTGGGACAAAGATTTTTATGATCAATTATTCTCATCGTCACCCCTCTGCCGGCGGCTAATAATAGCCAGATCTCATGGAAGTCAAAGTAATAAATGTGACAAGGTCGATCTCATATTATAGTCCCAGTTCCCAGTCCCCCAGGCCTAACAAACAGTTACTCTGTGATAGCAAGTCGAGACCGAATTTATTGGCAGGCTTTTGAATTTGAATGCAGAGAACTTTAGGCGCGAAATCGAAGGTCGTACGGAAACGCTAAAGTCTATGCTAGATGGATGTTATCCAGGATCCCAACATAATCCACGCGCCAACATTATTGTTCTTTAAATGAAAAAGAAATAAAATTCGAATGCATATTGCGCACGCTTGGTCATAAGTCATATTCGTTTTCCCGGTAAAAATATGGTATACCAGTACAATATGGCGTCGGATTCGTGACGTCATTACGACTGGCCAGTATACTGATGTATATTACAGAATACACACGTAAAAACGCGCCCGTAATCCAAGGACGTTGAAGGTCAAATCAAAATTTGGATTACATCCTTCGTCTAGATGGATGGCAACGGGCTAGGTCACCTTGGTTGGTACGCTGGATTACATCCGTCTAGAAAAGATCTTATCCTTATTACCTTGTGATTGTCTATTCTACACTAAGATCCTACATTACACTGTCTAGATATTTTTTTTATCGACATTCACTTCTCTAAATAAAACTAGTTTTTACGGGTTAATGCACGAAAACTTTATTTATTTATTGACGTTTCGTAGCCTTTACAGGCTACGTCGTCAGAATAAAACTTTTATTTAATTTATTGACTTCTCTAGTTGCACTTTGCTATAATTTAGTTTTATTTATTTTTCCACACTTTGAATGAAGTAGCACTTACTTCTGTTGTGTAGTCTACACAAAAGTGAACTGTGTTGATGTATGGTATGATTGATATACAACCCGGCAAACTTTTTGAGCAACGACCATATATAAGTCGCGGCACAAAACTCTAGCGCTGACCGTTATTGCGCAGAAGTAAAAATTAAGATGTCTTAAGGGGAAACAGAGGTGCGCGGGTGGGCGTGCGTTACACCGATTGGCTCTGTCTGTCTGTGTCTGTCAGTCGTACCCATGCGTAGCTATCCCCACCGCGTTTTGTTCAGCGCAAGAGTTACGTGCCGCGAACTGTACAAGGAAGCCTACGCAATAGCAATTTAATTTAACATACATAAACGTTTAGGTACTATGTCAGTTTGTCCGTGGTTTTGCTCAAGTAGTTTGCCTACTACTACTACTGCCCAAACATAGAGAAATAGGATATTTTTAATTTATAAATAAATCTTAATGATATTTTTAATAGGACCACTGTTGGTAAAAGATCTTTATGTCATAGAGCTTATTATAGATTTTAATGTGTATCAAAATTCTTTAAGACGCGGATAAAAGCACAGTGACAATCCAAAAGTCACTCTGTCGCATTTTCATTATACTATAGTAACTAAGGTCGCGTTGTTTGAAACATGGTTAAATTTGACTAAATTTCAAATACTAGAGAAAAAATATTGTTATACATATTATGTCTAATCATATAATCTTATCAAGAAAGCATACTATTCGGTAAATGAATTTATGAATGATAAGTGAAACTGTCACGGAAAGCTCACTAACTTGATTGAAACTGAAACTGTTTAGTAGTTGTGTTGATATAGTTATTGTACTTGCAACACCCTGACAGGGTCATGTACCATGCTAAAATAATTTAAAGATCCTATATATGTACTGTACATGTGTAATTAATTAAATAAATAAATAAATAATACTAGGTATGTTTTTGGCATGACATTAAATATACTTTAGTAAAGGTGCTGTCCGACGGCCTGTGTTGTCGCGGGCGCGCTCCGCCGCACAGGGTTGCCAAACGTATGAGAACTCTAACGTCTCTATGCGTGATATGAGATAAATAGAAATGTCGTACACTGATATGAGATTCGAACAATGTTGACTGTTTGTGTCGTGTACACAAACTAAAAATATTATCAGAAAGTAAATAAATGTCCAGTCCACAAAGGGTCGACTCAGTGAGTACCATCATCATGCCATCACTAAGTAAACGAGATTTCTATTTACTTCGTATCATGTATAGAAACTGCTAAATCTCAAACGTTAAAGTTCTCATACGTTTGGCAACCCAGCGCAGCGCGGCCGCCCGCGACATACAGCTTAACTGATGCCCGCGATTTCCTTTGCGTAAAGTAGGTATGAATTGTATTAATTTAATAATTATTACCTACCTGATGGTTTGATAAATAAAATTTTCGCGAAAATCTTAGGCATTTTGCGAAAACGCGAATAATTAAACAATGGCGATAACATTTCTCGAATCTTACAGAAAAAAGATAGGACTTTTGCGAAAACGCTAGTTGCGTTAGTAATATTGAACATTCTTTAATCTGATTGGCTTTTTTGATTGTTGTTAACTAACTGTTTCTGCCGGGTCTAGACACGGTTTCAGCCCGGGCTAAGCTTCACGAGCACGGATTGTACATTTGTATCGACTCCAAACCGTCGCTAATGCCGGTGTCGTCCACAAACTTCCATACTCTTCCATACTTAACTGACGATCGAACGTGGAGAAACGTCTCGAACGAGAAACCCAGGACGAAAACGTCGCGTTTACAATGGCCCTCTCACTCTCTTTTAAAACTCTTTCTGGAGAAATGGCATTTTGTGATATTAATATGCAAATGAAAACCGGCGGGTGCATGGCCAGTCTCATGGAGGGTGCCATGCCATACCCGCACTCACGCACGTCACGCTTTAAGTCGCGTATTCATTAGGCAACATTTGCGTAGAAATACTGTTTATAAACAGTGGTTGTGTCACCATCTTATCATCGTCACTTCGTTACAGGCGTCCCTGGAAGTGCGTCAGGTCGGCAGGCGAGCGGTCAGCCAGCTCTCCGGCCGCGGCATGGGGGATGACGTACTCATCATACATTACAACGATGTATACAACATCGAACAGACCACAAGTGAGTTGATGTTACATTTGAACGTTTAAAGCAAAATGCTCCGACTGCTGGGGCACAAGCCTTCCCTATGGATGGAATAGGGAAATTGGACAATGCTCCAGTGCGGATTGGAGGATGGGATGCTAACGACTGCAGATGCAGCCGGGACTTACGGCTCGAAGCACGGACGCGCTCGAGATTAAAGTTCTTGGTCACCCATCCAATGACCACCCATTGAGAAAGTTGCTTAACTTCCTCGTTCGCAGTCCAAACCTAACCAAACTAACTAACCACCTGAGCTATCGAACTCCTCGCTTATTATAGTCTATATTATTATAGTCTTCTTTAAAGTATCATGTCATTTTACAGACACAGAGCCTGTGGGAGGTGCCTTAAGGTTCAGCACTGCGGTGAAAGCTCTCCATCACCTGAACCCCCTCATACTCTTCAGTGGGGACGCCTTCTCACCTAGCATGTGTAAGGAAACTGGATCTTATGAATAAACTACTACTACTTTTAAGAAGTTCTTTAACACAGTGATGCTGTGGCCACACTAACGGGAAATGTAATTAATTAAATATATATTTCCAACACACGCACCAATAAGCCTAGCCCCAAAGTAAGCACTATAGGCTATTTATATAGAAATACATATTAAACATGCATGACTGGAGTAAATAAATAAATATTTCCTACACTCACACCAATTAGCGTAGTCTCAAAGTAAGCACTGTAAGGCTTGGGTTATGGGATACTGGGGCAACGGATAGAATACATATATTGTACATAATATATTTATAAATAAATACATATTAAAACATCCATGACTGCAGTACAAATATTCGTATTTATCACACAAACATCTGCCCGCACCGGGATTCGAAGCCGGGACCTCTCTAGTAGCCGACTCCATGAAACCCGGCGTACATACCACTCGGCCACGGAGGTCGTCTTAAGAATTATCCCTATAATGTGGACGCTTAAGATACAGTACGCGTACGATCTCACTGCAAATCAAAGGAATACACTAGTGATCGGAAACGCAGCTGGAGTTAAAGCCAGATTTACATTGATACAGTAGCTGGCGCCAGTTTTAGGCGCCTAAAAACGGTGCCAATAACTGGACTGGATTGTATCGTTTACATTTTTGCCAGTAGTTGCATTTGAGGTTTAGTGGTGACCCAACTTATCTAACACGTTTGGGAAAAAATTAACACTGATTTTACTTTCGCTTTCATTTCTTCAATAGTTAACCTTTCCATATTCATTGAAGAGCAAATACTTTGCAGGACGGTTATTCGCATCTATTTATTTCTATAATTTTGTGAACGAATGTCCCATAAACACTTCTCATTTCTATATAAATGTATAAATTGTAATGTGTTATCATCACGAGACATATTCTTGTCGAAAGTTTCAGCAAATCAATAACACGTGGTGACATTAAGCGGCGGCGCCAGCGACTGGCGTGAACGTGTTTAAAAAGATCCAGTGACGCTGGCAAGGGGCGCGGGGGATGCGGGGTGTGAGCACTGGCATGAAAAGTAGGCCTTCGTTCTACTCCATGCCAGCGCTGGCACCAGCGCGGGACTGCGCCAAAAAATGTTTACATGGATCCAGTACTGGCATGCCAGCGGGACTGGCGCCAGCTACTGTATCAATGTAAATCTGGCTTAATACACTGCAGCTTTAAAATTTATTGGTCATAACAACGTCTTTCAGATTTTTTTATACGTTTCTGTCTTCTTTTCAGTAAGCACATTTACAAAAGGTGAACAAATGGTACCAGTATTAAATGAAATCGGAACGCACTGTGCTGTGTTCGGAAACCATGATTTTGGTAAGTTCTTACTGAGATTAATAGGTAATTTATATAATATCTACTTATAAATAAGGTAACATTAGTATGTTTGTAACGAAACGATCTCAAAACTACTTATCCGATTAAAAAAATATATGAAGCTGAAACTATCAGACACATACAGCAACGGGACCGCCACAAAACAGACGGTAAACTTATTTCTAGCAACTGTTTTGGTTTTTCTTGTTTAGTTTAAAGTAAAGGAAAGTAATCAATTTGTTTTCAACGTAACATAACGTATTCATCACTCAAACATTTGCCCCAACGGGATTCGAATCCGAGACCTCGCATACTAATGCGACACCTTTAAAACCGGCGTACATACCACTCGAGCCACGGAGGTCGTCAGATACATATACATGATAAGTATATTTTTGTAGAAAAATATATAAATTATCCTTGACTCGGATACAAGTTTTCATCGTACAAATATTTGCCCCGCCGGGTTTAGAGTCGACTATACTAAGAAAATGAGACAATTTTCACCTAGGAAGGTGAGACCTTGAAACCCGGTGTTCATACTACTCGCACCACGAAACGAAGGTCGCCAAAATAGTCTCATTTTCTTCCAGATTTCGGTCCATAAGTACTATATTCAACTTCTTCTGAGATAAAAGGTACAAACACATATACCAATAAATATAACAATTTTCAACGGTATAGATGCACTGATTTATTTATTGATGACGTTTCGCATCCTTTTTAGGCTGCGTCGTCAGACTTATGATTTTTTATAAAATTAAAAAAGAAGAAGAAAAAATTTATAAAACTTAATACTAGGCTGTATGGGCATTGTTCCCGTGGCGTTCCCTGAAAAGGGAGAATGTTAAAAAAACATAAACAAGCCTAAAAAAGCTGTTTTATAAGCTTTTTATAAATTTTATAAGCATATAAGATCATGATTTTTAGTAAAATCATAATTCTGACGACACAGACTAAAAGGGATACGAAACGCCATAAATATATAAATCAGAGCGCCTATACCGTTGACACTTGTTTTATTTAATGAGTGGTGTGCAGTGAAAACCTAAGAAACAACAACAACATATATCAATGTTTCTGAAACTGATTTTATCTAGAGACGGCCGGTGTAACCAGACTGATTGATAACAAAATTTCACATTTCTACCTAAATAATTTGTTTGATCACTCTTACTACAGTTTTAGGTATTTTTACTGTCATTTTTAATTTGTTATGATCTTTTAAGGTTATAATACTCGGCCTATTGAAAAACCCTTTTATGGCTTGTTCATATATTTTTTTTAACATTCTCCCTTTTCAGGAAAGGCAAAGGGAACAATGTCCATACAGCCTAGTCTAAAGTTTTATTAACCTTATGTTTTGAATTTAAGAATAACTAAAATAAGACGCCAAACACACTCGATGAAAACGCTCCAAGAAACTCTTGTTTACCTTATGTCTCAAGGGAAGTCGGTCTAGGTAGTCTTTTTAGGCTTCAAGGAGGTAGACAAAATATTTTCTTTTGTTCCAGATTTCGGTCTGGATGTTTTATCAGGCTTGGTGGCACAATCCAATTTCCCTTGGCTTATGTCCAATGTCATAGACAACGAAACTGGCAGACCTTTAGGCGATGGCAAGATCACACACGCGCTACTCTGCAATGGACATAAGATAGGGCTCATAGGACTAGTGGAACAGGTAACGCCATCTGTTGAAGATATTCCATAACAAATATTATAATTATAATGTTTAGTTTCACAAAATATATTCTTGTACTTTATAAAAATCAATTAATATCTATGTATATAAAAATCAATTGCTGTTCGTTAGTCTCGCTAAAACTCGAGAACGGCTGAACGGATTTATCTTATCTTGGTTTTGAAATGTTCGTGGAGGTCTAGGGAAGGTTTAAAAGGTGAGAAAATATGGAAAAATTGCGAGGAAGATAGTAAAAACGTCAATTTAATTTTCCCATATAAACTGTTCTATCTTCTTTCCTGTCAAACATTTGACGTTCGTCCCTTTTGGTCGGGCCCGTCATTTCTTGCAAATTATTTTAACCCGTACGAAGCACGCGGACTCAACTAGTATAATATATTTATTTAGCACATTTAACACAGAAAAATGAAAATGTACACATTAGTTTCACAAGTCTTCTTCTTCTCAGTCCATTCTCAATAATAATAGTAATAAAATTTTATTTTAACAATTAGTACAAAAATAATAACTTAAAAGTACAATTTTAGCTTAGATATAACAAAACATGCCTGAACTAAGAAAATCCTGTGTTTCAGGCGGAAACTGGCGATTAATTTCCATTAAAATAACATGTGTATTTATTTATGGTAAATTACAGTAAATTTGGTAAAACATTACACATATAATTAACTTAAAACTAATCTAAAATGATGCAATATACTAGATTCAAGAATAATAATATCAAGAGAAACGAACACTTCTCACAACTATATCCTTAGGCTACTTAACTACAACTAATAACTGCTCTGTATCTTCATAGGACATGCATAGTAAGGCTTCTTGTAGACTTATTTTACAATTTTTGTAATTTAAGGGATATATGTTTTTTATTGCATTTATTCTATTGTAGAGCAGTGGTCCTAGGAAAGTGAAAAATCTGGATGCAAAAGCTGATTTTGTTCTTCCATATTTCTGGGGGCAAACTAGATCCTTGCGTCTTTTACCAGAAATAAGTTCAATATAGTATGATAGAGCTAGGTGCTGTTTTAGTACGATGTTCATTATAAACAGTTGCCGAACTGTTAATACCTTATGAATTTTATAAAGTTCATATGTGGGATAAAAGAAAGGTAGGGAAGATGAAACCTTAAGGATTGCTCTTTGGGCTCTCTCAAGAGTTAGCAGCAATGTCTTACCCACTCCACCCCATGACGTGATACAATATGTTAGTATTGATTGACATAAAGCATAGTATACCTGTTTAATTATTTTACAGTTTGCAATATTGCGCAGTTTTTTAAAGATCATTATCAGCTTACGAATTCTGTTAGTTACTGCAGTAATGTGGTGTTTGTAAGACAGGGTTTCATCTATAATTATTCCGAGATATTTTAATTTGTCTGTAATTTTAATGGTAGGACATTCACAATTATTATTAAAAGGCTCTGAACTGCAATGATGGGCATATAAAACTGTATTATAGTTGTTTGCTTTTGATTTACGCATCGAAAATTTAATAAAATTTGTCTTGTCTGCATTTAATGTTAGTAAATTGTGTTGAAGCCAATTATTGACAATATTAAAACCACGTTGCGCATGCATATGTACCTGACTTTCTGACTCGGCTGAAAAAAGGAGAGCTGTGTCGTCAGCGTATGATATAATAGTACCGTTGCTAATTTTAATGTTGCAGAGATCATTTATGTAAATTAAAAACAGAGTAGGGCCTAATATTGATCCTTGTGGAATTCCAAAGGGTGTACAATTTAGATCGGCACTTACGATATTACCTATTTTGACGCATTGGGAGCGGTCTTCTAAATAACTTGTAAAAAGTTTGAGCTGCGTGCCTCTTATTCCGATGTTTTCAAGTTTGCGCAGAAGGAACGGGACAGATACAGAATCAAATGCCTTGGCAAGATCAAGGAAAATGCCGATGGTGTAATTACCTTTATCTAATTCTTGAGCTATGTAGTTAGTTAGTTCATGTACAGCATCCGCCGTTGAAACTTTAGATCTAAAACCAAACTGATTTTTCGATAATATCGATTTATATTCTAAGTATTTTACCAATCTAACATTTATAATTTTTTCTAGTATTTTTAATAATGACGTCAGTATGGATATTGGTCTATAATTAGTTACATGAGTTTTATTTCCAGATTTAAAAACTGGAGTAACGATTGCTTTTTTCAAGCATTTGGGAAAATACCCAGTACAAAGACATTTCTGGAAAACGTATGTGAGAGGTGGAGTTAATATGTAACTAAATTTTTTAATGATTTTGGTAGGGATATTATCCCACCCAACAGCGCAATTCTCTTTTAAGTTCATTATTATCTTTCCTACTTCTGATTCATCTGTATCAAACAACACAAAAGACGTTTGCGTGGTACTAGACTTAAATAAAGGGCTAGTTTGACACTGTGATGTGGTTTGGACTTTTTCGGCTAAACATTTACCGACATTAACAAAAAAATCGTTGACATTATTAGCTGACAATAATTGTGACGAGTGTGTGTGTAATAAACTTGAAGAGGACTCATTTTGCTTTGGGGCATGTGTTATATTTTTAATGTGTCTCCATATCTGTTTACTGTTTGTGCCTGCTGATTGGAGAGTTGATTCGTCATAATTTGACTTTACTTTTTTCAGTAAATTATTGCAAAAATTACGATATCTTTTATAAGTTAATTGCAGTGTATCATTACATGGATTGCTTTTCGCCTTCATATGCAGTTTATCTCTGTGCCTCAAACAGCGAATGAGGCCTGGCGTGATCCATGGTTTAATATTATAGTTTTTGCTATTAATTCGAATTGTCTTCGTATTTTTCTGTATGATAGATTGTAAATTATCAATTATATATTGCATACAAAACTCTGGGTCAGCAGAATTGAAAACTGGGTTAAAATCTATGTTATGTAAGTCGTCTTCGAGTTTATTTATATTTAATTTTCTAATAGTGCGATCGTCAGCTGTTTTAAGTAATTTACAATTTAAGGTAAGTAGGACAGCATTGTGGTCTGTTATTGATGAATTGGTAACAAGGGCAAGTGATTGAAAATTTGATTTTATTAAAACATGATCGAGGCATGAACCACTTTGATGTGTAGGGAGGACGTGTGCGGGGAGCATGCCATGATAGGAGCAAAGGTTTAGGTAGTCCTGCGCCGCTGCGTCGGCACCTTCTGGGAGAATATCGATGTTAATATCTCCAATCAAAATAACGGTTTTAAAAGAGGATAGGTCTCGCAATACTGTATTCAAAGATTCTATAAATTTTTTAGTATTTTTAAATGATGGTGGTCTATATAATGCTAAAATAGCAAATTCTGAGCTAATTTTAACTAACAATCTACTGCATTCGTGCATGTTTGGTTCCTCAACAGACACATCTAAGTGAGACCTTGCATAAACTATTACTCCGTCATTTTGATTGTGGATAATATTACTTTTGAATATGCTGTACCCCGGGAGTTGTGGTAGGTTGTATTTGATAGTTAGCCAACATTCTGTTAAAATTATAACATCAGAGGTTATATCCAGTCTGTGATGGAAAGTACTAAAATCATCGAAATTCTTAAATATGCTACGTATATTTTGCGTTAGTAAAGTTAGGGGATTACTATAATTAGAGGATGACAAGTACTGCTTACAATCTTCTACCTCACAAATCTTAGACTTAGATAAAGAGAAGTTATCAATATCACTTATCAAAGTATTAATCATATTATGAGAAAAATATTATAATTTGTATAAAAAATATAAAAATAGAAATGAAAGAAATAAAAAAAAATAGGTCTGGAAAATTACAGTTAAGAGGCGCTCTTAGGCGCCTTCATAATCGATTGAATTAATGTACCTTTTCTCAGCCATTATTTTTGCCGGACAGGTAGAGGCACCCGTGCTGTGGTCAGCTGGTTTTTTGAAATGTAAGCAGGTTGCGCATTTTGCTTCGTTTTTATTGTTCGGGCAATCCTTTATAGAGTGGTCCTTGTCACCACAATGTCCGCAGGTGTAAGAGGGCTCTCGGCAGGTTTTCGCGGCATGTCCATACTGCTGACATTTGTAACATCTCGTAACCAGAGTGAAGTCCCTCACTGGGCAAGATGACCAATTAACAAATGCTCTCTCTTTAGCTATTAGGGCTTTTCGTATGGCAGCAGTAACTTCAATGATGTAGTTGCAGGTCTCAGCATCTTTTTTGCCTGATTTATGGCTAAGCCTTATCTAATTTAAAAATAATTCCAGTGTAGAGCCCTGTAGTTTTTCAGCGAGATTCTGGTTGTATAGGCATTTAAAAACCTCTTTTTCATTCATCGATGAGGGCACGCCGATGACTATCACTCTCGGTTTACGTCTGCTTGGCTCATCGACTGTAAAGCCTGAATTTGTCAGCTGAGTCGATTGCTTCAGCTTCTCGATGTCGTCCTTGGTATCGGTGCTGATAATTACGCCTCCGTTCTTTGTCTTGCGAAGGCCTCTGACATGTAAGTTTATTTTTTCAGGGCAGATAATTTTTTGGACCATGGATTTTGTTTCTTCACTAGATTTATGTTTATCAGAAGGATAAATCACTACCGAGTTGATGTTCTGGGGCTTAATATAGTCATTTGTGCCTTTTTTAACCATGTCCGCGAATGAGGCGGTACATTGTGCAGGTATTTTTGTTTCTTCTACCGCCTCCTTGAGTTCAAGAAGCTGTTGGCATACATCAGATTGTTTTTCAAGCGCTTGGTTTGACGCTTGAGCTAGGAAGGCTCGTAATTTGATGGACTGGTATTGCACTACCAACTGCGAAGTGCCGTGTCCAACTTTTCTGCATAAGGTGCTGATACGCAATTTTTGCTCTGAGTTGAGCTTGCCATCAGCAGCGACAGAGCAAATTTCATTCAGGCATTGCTCAATATTGATTAACCAGCTCTGGAGCTCCTGAGTTGACGCAACTTCCTGGGGCACAAATGCGGGCGCAGGTGGCGTTGGCGTTGGAGGCGGGGTACGAACGGTCCTATCACTTCGATTAAATGGGCTGTTCTCCATGATTTAGTTTTAAGTAAAACAAAACTAAATTATTTTCACTATAACCACACACATGTTAAAACAATGTCCCAGTTTATGCAACTATCGGTATTTGTAAAACAAGGTCACGGATTGCAAGTATTAATTCAATGTCTATAAAACAATATAAAATGTAATAAGAAATAAAACAAATGACAACGATTAGTATTTTTATCTTGAGATACATGTCCTAGTTTGGAAGTTTAAGACTATTAGGTACATAGTTGTGTAGAATCAGGCATGATTCTCTAAACTTAAAACTTAATTCAACATCTGTCTCCCTCCTTTTCATTCTGTATAAAGAAAGGCAAAGATACTCAGTTGTCGAATTTAAGTTTAGGTTATGCCAGAATCGACACAACTATGTACCTAATAGTCTTAAACTCCCAAACTAGGGCATGTATCTCAGGATAAAAATACTAATCGTTGTTATTGGTTTTATTCCTTATTACCATAGACATTTAGAATGGACTGAGAAGAACTCGTATGAAATTGATAAAACTCTAGAAAGAGAACGATGGTCGATCGCTTAGTACCTGTGAGGACTATTAGTTGTAGCTAATGTTAATTTAATTAATCTGCAAATGTATTTTTATTTTCTATGTCTGAAGTCTAATGTGCTCATAATAAAGTTTTTAATATTTGAGTCTCTTTTTCTTCCTCTCCCTCTCCCCCCTCTCTCTTCTCTCCCTCTTCTCTCTCTCTCTCTCTCTCTCTCTCTCTCTCTCTCTCTCTCTCTCTCTCTCTCTCTCTCTCTCTCTCTCTCTCTATCCGCTAATTTCATCATGTATAGATTACGTACGATGAACTGGTAAGTAATATATCCTTACTTAGCAGTACAACGTATTCTATACAGAATGAGAAGTAGAGACTGCAATCAGATTTAGTTTTAAGTTTAGTGAATCATCCCACTATCAGGCCCAGTAATAATACAAAAAAACCCTATCGTTTCATTAGCTATATTTAGTGACTATAATAACTAATAATAATAATTATGTTTTGTCAAGAAGTTGTGTAATCAAGTCCAAAATTTGTATATATATGTTTTACAAAAATAAACCGTCATTGCATCTAATTTATTTAATTGTGAATGATTTTACTCTATCACGTTTTCATTCTGAAATTTTAAAAATATAATCACCCACTTTTTTGTGTGAATATTAGAAATATTTATTTACCTACCTGATAAAACATTCATATTGGATATATTTTGCCTTTCTTACAATCAATTTAGAAATGAGTGCTATAAGGTCGTTTTACCCTAACACTCAGTAATTATTTTCTTATCATAAATCTTTATTGTATTCACATAGCTCTAAATACTCTTAATATCGTACGTAATTTTAAGTAAATTATGTAAGTGTATAAATGTTTCAGTTTGTGGAAACTTAACTGGTTTATTGAAAAGTAATAAGTGTTACTTAATTGAATTGTGTAAAACTGTATGTTTCCCAAATGTTTTTTTTTTCTTTCTAGGAATGGCTAGACACACTATCCACTATAAACCCAGAAGAAGTCACCTTCATAGATTTCCTACAAGCGGGTAGCAAACTAGCATCACAGTTGAAGCAGGAAGGCTGCGAATACGTCATAGCTCTCACTCACATGCGCACACCCAACGACGTGAAGTTAGCTGAGGGCTGCAACGAAATAGATCTGATATTAGGCGGCCATGACCACGTGTATGAAGTTCTTGAGGTGAGAATTTTGATCCTTGAATAATTTTCACCTTTAGTTTTGGCAACAAACAGTAATTTACATAATATTGAGATACAAGCATATTTGTAAATATTTAAGGACCAAACAGTGCCCAAATAATTATTACAGTTATAGTAGCAAAGAGAGTTATTTTTGTTTCCCACAGATGCATTAGTTAGATTATTTTTTCCCCGACCTCGACAAAAATAAAATTATGTTTTCCAGTGTGCGTGCTAAATAAAGGCCCATACGTTTATGTTATTTGGCACATTCTGTAACCTAACCGACTTTACTATTTTAAAGAGTGAAATATTAATAGAATCTTTGCATTTTCTCAATAGACACAGGCTATGATTTTTTGAAAAATAATTCAATGTAGCTGATTTAGCGGAAGATGTAAGATGGAAAAACCGACTTTTTAACGTTTTGATAGCCTTAATGAACATATTACAAAATTATATATTCGCTTTTTTTTTAATAGATAGGTCCGACTCCACCCCACCTGATGTTAAGTGACGGTGCAAGTCCAGACGCGAAGATAGCTGATACAGCTGTTCTACCTGCCACACCAGCTGTTCCTTTATAAAACTTATTCCTTTATAAAAACATAGATAGAACTTACCACCACTTATTCCTTTATAAAAACATAGATAGAAGTAGGAACAAGTAGAACGCATTTCAAATTTTTGGTTGAAAACCCTTACCCTATGGGGCACTTAAAAGCATAAAATTACTAAAGAGATTACACAATATGTTTTGCAAATTATTTAAACAAATGTTTTGACTAAAGATTAAAAAAAAAATAATAGGGTTCCGTACCTTAAAAGGAAAAAACGGAACCCTTATAAGATCACTTTGTTGTCCGTCCGTCCGTCGGTCCGTCTGTCAAGACCGTTTTTCTCAGGAACGCGTGGAGGTATCAAACTTAAATTCATATCTAATACTCAGGTCTACTGTCCCTTGGAGATGTGAAAAAAACAAACTTCTAAGCCAAAGCAATCAAAAGATACAGCCGTTTATGCCACAAATTTTCGAAACTCGCACGGGAATTAAAACCTTACAGGGTACTTCCCGTGAACTTAGAATCTTAAAATTTAGTACGAAGTAACGTCTTATAATACTGATAATGGAAAAATTGCGAACCTTAAATTTTTTGTTACATCATATAATAAAAATATTTTTGTAAATTCAGGTTTGTACGGAACCCTCGGTGCGCGATTCCGACTCGCACTTGGCCGATTTTTTAGGGTTTTACCCTACACTCGAAAATTTTAAACTAATCCAAACTTACAAAATAACAATATCATTTGGCCCCAGTCGTCTTGATGAAGGTTATTTTCAGGACAATATTATAAGGTTATTTTTTATGAAAGTTATCTTTTCAAACAGCTCTCCGATACTTGAAATATTTCAGGTAAACAACAGATATATAGTGAAGAGTGGTACAGATTTCCGTCAGTTCTCCAAGATAACTATAACGTTTGAGGGATCACCTCGAGTCAACATAGAAGAAGTTAAAGTAACAAGCGCTTGCGCAGAAGACCAAGTGCTCAAAGCTAAAGTAGACAAATACTCAGGTATGTCAATTTAATAAATATTTCTAACACACACCAATTAGCCTAGCCCCAAAGTAAGTATTGTAAGGTATATACACCGTGAATTTTGATTTACCCGAGAAATTTTATAAATCATATATATATATATAGTTAAATATAAAACAGTTAACGAAGAATTAATTAATTTGTTTGCTAAAATACAGTTCACAAGTTGATACTTATTATAGAAGTACATGTACTCTACCTGCAAGCAGATGTGCAAATATTGCAGTCAGCTATTTTGTCTGTCATATACTCCTTAATACTATAATAACATTTTGTTTGTAACTATTTACTCGACATATTTTTAAACATTGTTCCAGTTTCTAATTATATATTGTCGGATAATTTATTATATATACATGTTAACAACATGTTATAAGCATTAACTCTAGAAATTTATGCGTGGCAAGGAGGCTGATATAATAAGTTCCTATATTGACATATCGTGTGTCTATTGCTCATTTCTACGCGTTTCTCGAAATACTTGATGTGATCCCTGACAAAGAAACATGCTTCCTTCCTTCCATGCATAGATTATGACACTATTGGGTAGTAAAGCATTTATTATTATTGTACTAGACAAGTATTACATCAATAAAGAAGTCAGTCCACTGCAAACCGCCGCCATTCATTGACATTGCAAAAATCATGATTAATGATTAGTTCTGTAATTGGCACTTTTCTTCCCCATTTCTTAAACATGAATGAATTTTTTTTATCAAGTCAATACTCAAGCAGAAGTAATGTCCATTACTGTACCCTTAGCTCGAACAAATATCGGATTCGTATCGTTTGCGAGTAAGAAATGTCAATGTCAAAATTTTGTATGGAAACTTAAACAGCAGTGCCACAAAGTACGTAACGAGAACTGAAAATCAGTACACATTTGACAATGACATTTCAGACTCGCAAACTATTCGAATTCGATATTGGTTCCTGCTAAGGGTACTGATTTATAAATCCAACTGTATGTCTTTGTTCACAATGGTTGTTTCTTCTAGCCATGATCGAGGGTAAAATGGACGAAGTTCTGGGCAAGTTCTGCGTGCCTCTAGAAGGAAGGTTCTCGTGTATCCGGCGCCAGGAGTGCAATCTGGGCAACTGGGTGTGCGATGTCTTGTTGGCTGCCACTGGGGCCGACCTGGTCATACTCAACTCCGGCACTTTTAGGTCTGATCAGGTATGTTTAAATGTAAATAAAGCATTGAAAGTGACTTTAAAAAAAACCTAGATACATCAACAAGAAAACGTTGAAAACTTTCCTAAGGCGACAATTAGATGGTAGGTTTTGCTGTCGGTTTGCTGGTAGTCAAGGTTATGACTGATGATAACCTGTCATCTAATGGGGATGTCTTATGATTTTCTAAGTCGCCATCTGTTTGATTGTTAGTGAATGATGGAATTGGCTGACGGCAGCAAGGATCTCATGGACGCCTACAGGTACAGTCGCGTTCTAGTTGGCATACAGATAAGGTTGATTATTAGACTGTAAACAGACATCTTAACTGCTAATGCTGGTACTTACATGAATATTCGTATTTGCTATTTGTCATTTTGACAGCAGGATGTCCTTCTCATGCTCTATGGGGAGTGAAAAAAAAAAGAGTTTCAGTGCCATAGAAATAAAGTTTATAATCTTCTGCCTATATGGAAAATACGTCAAATTTGTACAAGCCTGCATTTCGAATTGTGACAATTGATTATGAAATTTTAAATTATGCTAAATATTGTTGTTGGCTGCGCCACCACCAATAGTGTATCATTAGATTATGTTTCGGCCACAGCTTTGTTCATGATGTTGTATCTAGTTTCTATTTTATTGAAGGATTTAATATCGTTGGCTGATGCCTATTATTATAATTGCGCGATTACATTTGGTCGTTTGTCCGAATGCGAGTGCCAATGGCATTCGGGTAAACGAACGTAGTCGAGTAGGCCCATATTCGGGTAAATTACTTTTCTTTACCCGACACTGTCTTCCAGCCCCTCCAATGGCAATATTACTTCGAGTGCCCGAATTCCGTTAACGAGCAAATGTTATTATTATTATTGTTTTCAGGTCCACGCCGCGGGTGATTTCACCCTCCGCGACTTATCCACCATCATACCCATGAGGGATCTCCTCGTGGTGGTGGAAGCCACTGGGGCTGTTATCCTTGAAGTATTGGAGAATGCAGTCAGCAAGTATCCCAGCTTAGAAGGACGGTTCCCTCAGGTAAGCCGGCCTTATCCACAGATAGCAGCGGCCTATCCACCATCAGACCCATGAGGGATCTCCTCGTGGTGGTGGAAGCCACTGGGGCTGTTATCCTTGAAGTATTGGAGAATGCAGTCAGCAAGTATCCCAGCTTAGAAGGACGGTTCCCTCAGGTAAGCCGGCCTTATCCACAGATAGCAGCGGCCTATCCACCATCAGACCCATGAGGGATCTCCTCGTGGTGGTGGAAGCCACTGGGGCTGTTATCCTTGAAGTATTGGAGAATGCAGTCAGCAAGTATCCCAGCTTAGAAGGACGGTTCCCTCAGGTAAGCCGGCCTTATCCACAGATAGCAGCGGCCTATCCACCATCATACCCATGAGGGATCTCCTCGTGGTGGTGGAAGTCACTGGGGCTGTTATCCTTGAAGTATTGGAGAATGCAGTCAGCAAGTATCCCAGCTTAGAAGGACGGTTCCCTCAGGTAAGCCGGCCTTATCCACAGATAGCAGCGGCCTATCCACCATCATACCCATGAGGGATCTCCTCGTGGTGGTGGAAGCCACTGGGGCTGTTATCCTTGAAGTATTGGAGAATGCAGTCAGCAAGTATCCCAGCTTAGAAGGACGGTTCCCTCAGGTAAGCCGGCCTTATCCACAGATAGCAGAGGCCTATCCACCACCAGACCCGTGAGGGATCTCCCCGTGGTGATGGAAGTCACTGGGGCTGTGATCCTTGAATTATTGGAGAATGCAGTCAGCAAGTATCCCAGCTAAGATGGACGGTTCCCTCAGGTAAGGCGGCCTTATCCACAGATAGCAGCGGCCTATCCACCACCAGACCCGTGAGGTATCTCCCCGTGGTGATGGAAGTCACTGGGACTGTGATCCTTGAAGTATTGGAGAATGCAGTCAGCAAGTATCCCAGCTTAGAAGGACGGTTCCATCAGGTAATTCGGCCTTATCCACAGATAGCAGCGGGCTATCACACATATGTTAGTATCCACCATCATACCCATGAGAGATCTCCCCGTGGTGGTAGAAGCTACTGGTGCTGTGATCCTTGAAGTATTGGAGAATGCAGTCAGCAAGTTATTCAACTTAGAAGGACGGTTGCCTCAGTTTAGGCAAATATTTTAGTTAGGAAGCCTGCGCAGTAGCAATTTTACATACAGAAACGTCTACTGCGCAATTTTATTTGTCTGTGGTTTTGCTCGAGAGCTTTGCCGCGATCTATTCTACCATTTGTGCCTAATTTATAGCTGTTTATATAATACCAGTGGGTGCTTTGCCTGCGTGAAAAAAATGGTTTCCCATACAAAGTACGATAAAAACTCTTATGTTTATGTAAATGTCTTTCTTTCTTTCTATGTTCATTCCCGGGCCTTTAACTTCTATACCAAATTTCATCTAAATCGAAAGGGGTACCTGACAGACACACTCTCGTATTTATAATATTAGTATGGATATGGATACTAGAGGTTTACTCTAGCTTTGCGCGGGTATTTAATGCGATAAAATATAGCCTTGATATTCCTACTCTGAAAAGTTTGATATCTCTTAAAAATTCTAGATATCTGGTTGAATTTGATTTAACCACCCCAATTATCGCTGACTGGACGTTACAAAACTGTAATGGCTGCTTTCCATTTGATTATCAACCAACGTTTCCCTAAAAACCTTAATTTTACCCCCTCATTATAAATAATTTTTATTTCTATAGTTTCTTGGATCATTTCTCTACAACAAACTAAATCGAAAATTGTCAATGCTAGTAATAGTCACCAGATTCTGCTGCAAGAAGAGAGTCACCATCATCATCAGCCTATTAATGTCCCCACTGCTGGGGCACAAGCCTTCTCTATGGATGGAATAGGGAGATTGGACCATGACCCACCACGCGGGCCCAGTGCGGATTGGTGGGTGCTAACGACTGCAGACGCTACCGGGACCAACGGCTTAACGTGCTTTCCAAAGCACGGAGGAACTCAAGATAGAAGATTTTTGATCACCCATCCAATGACCGACCACTGCGAAAGTTGCTTAACTTCAACTATCGCAGCCGAACGCGCTAACCAGCTGCGCCATCGAGCTTCTCACCGAGCGAGAGTCACCAATTACCTGCAAAATCTAAACTATTTAGAAACAGAAAGCCTTGTGAATTCTTTAATGTAATAAACTCGTCTATCTTCTATGGGCTTGCCCTATTGTGTATACGAACTACCTCATATTATGATATATTGAAAAATTACGGGCAAAGTCACACACGCTCCCTCAACACACACGCACTCACACACACGCACACAAATACCACACCACAAACTCACACCCACATACACTCACAACCAGCACTACTATATACATACCCTATCATGCAAAATAATATAAATGTAAATCTAGAATTCATCGTTTTTCTCCTTTTTTTTGCTTTGTAACACTTTCTTATAGCTGGGAGAGGCTGGTGCACTGAGACACAGGCGTCAGCTTAGTTTGGTCACCAGTCGTTTTTTCACGCCCGATCTGTACTTGTTGTACAAAACGCAAGTGCGGACCTGCGTGGAATATTCCTCGCACCTCTGGGATGGCTCCGCCAAGTTCTTGCTCGATGCTTTGGATAGGTTACAGCGGCGCGCGATCCGCATCATAGGCGATGAGGAGGTGACAAAACACCTTGAGCCTCTTCAATTACGCCGTGACGTGGCGTCACTAAGCGTGTTCTATCGTCTGTACCACGGCGAGTGTTCTGAGGAGTTATTCTGTCTTATCCCACCTTCTCCTTTCCTTCAGAGGACCACGCGCGCTGGCCTACGTTGTCACCGTTTTACTGTGGCCACAATTCCAACGCGTACAAAGAAATTTGGTGACTCATTTCTTTGTCGCGCTATCCGTAAATGGAATGCTCTGCCCGCTCACGTGTTCCCTCCCTCTTACAACCTGGGATCCTTTAAAAGAGGCGTGAAGAAGCAACATGCAGGCCGGCAGGGTGAGGATGGCTGGTGTGGCAGGTAGAACTGCTGTATCAGCTATCTTCACGTCTGGACTTCACCTTCACTTAACATCAAGTGGGGTGGAGTCATTTGTCGGACCTATCTATAAAAAAAGCCTCACAATCTTAGTCCTAAGTTTTATAATCTGTTACTTATGAAGCATGTATAAGATTGTGGAGAGAAAATAAAGTTTATTATTTATTTATTATTATTTATATTTATGTTTTATTTCGCTCTGTCTACATTTCCCATTTCGCCCCCAGGTGGCGGGCATATCATTCGCATTCGATCCAACCAAACCTTCTGGGCAGCGTGTCGCAGAACAAGTGGTGAAGGTCGGCGACGAATACCTCCAGAAGGACCAGAAGTACAGACTGGCCGTCAAACAGTATCTATACAACGGAAACGATGGATTCACTATGCTGCCCAAGTGTAAAGTATTGGTAAGTTCCTTGTGTACAATATGTGGACAAATTTTTTGAGAAATATTCCCCAAGTCGCTAAAACTGCGTTTATCCACGCTTTAATAAATATCGAAGATAGGCGATGAACTTCAAGAAAATACCAGAAAAACAATTTGGCCATCAAAGCAGTGTGTGCAGTGGCATTGAAGATTTCAATATGTTGCCCATGTTTACAGTATTGGTAAGTCTCTTCATCATCAGCCTATTAATGTCCCCACTCCTGGGACACAGGCCTTCCCTATGGATTTACAAAAAAGGTTTACTTAATATAATGACAAATAACTCACTTTTAGCTAGTAGGTACATACTTATTGGAATCCCTGTATTTATTAATCAGCTAGCGATAATATTGGTTTTGTAATTATAAACGATAATTCTGCAAAATTCAAAGTAATTAATATAGATTTTTATAGGTAAATCACCCCTTTCATCACCGTACGCCTATAAGTATTGCGATGTTGTAGCTAAGAACCAAGTTCCCATCTACTTCTATAGGGGAATTCAGTATAATCGATTTAGCTATTAGGGCACGGAAGCGCAATAAACAAACTCACTTTCGCATCTATAATATTATAATATACTTACTAGTGATCCACCCGGGCATTGTAGGGGCGAAATTTATTATTTAGCGATCTAAGGCAGTTGCCACCATTGTCCAAAACAATTTGACGGGAATTACTGCTTTCTTCAACCTGCGACATAAACGTCATTGATTGGTATTGTATATAGGGTGATTAACAACATTTTAAGTAAACTTCTGGCATCTACATTGCCAGAAATATTATGTATTCTTGAATGTCTAATGGATCCCGACTGTTAAAGTAGCTTTGTGCCTTATTAACAGAATTATAGACTACTGGACTTGTATTTTTCTTTTCAATTTTTACTTGAAGTATAATTAAGCAGTCGGGTTTTTTGATTTTTTAAATTTACCTTTTTTTGTTACTGTGCTGTGCAATAAAGAGTTTTTATCTTATCTTATAAATAGGCTGATGATGATGATGACTGTCAAATTCAGTTTTAGGTTTAAAAAATTATATCAAAATCAAGGCGATTAGTTTAATTACATGAAAAAGTCCAGAATATAAGCTCCTGTCAGATCTAAATCATTTATAAACGTTTCATCTCCCCAGGTATCTGAAGACATGTGTCCCGAAGTAGGCATGGCGGTACAAAACCACTTTGCAGCAATCAACGTACGAACAGGCCGCGCCAGACCTTCTAAGCATCGCCAGTCGCTCGTCACGCTTAGTAGGAGGTAAAGTTTTATTAGCATCAGCTTTTATCTCCCTAGGTATCGAAGGATATGGACCCAGAACTAGGTATGGCTGTCCAGGATCCAAAGCACGAACAATTAGCGAGAAAAGTATTCGTCCATCGCACCACCGTCAAAGTTTCAATGGGAACTAAGCAGCGCCTCTACCGGAAGTAAGAACAAACTACTTCCATAGAACCGAACTACTTCGCGGCGATAAACTTTCGAACAGGCCACGCCAGACCTGAGTATCGCCAGTCGCTCGTCACGCTTAATATAAGGTAAAAGTTTATTAGCATCAGCTTTTATCTCCAGCAGTATCTAAGGATATGTGCCCAGAACTAGGTATGGCCGTCCAGTATCCAAAGCACGAACAATTAGCGAGAAAGTATTCGTCCATCGCACCATCGTCCAAGTTTCAATGGGAACTAAGCAGCGCCTCTACCGGAAGTAAGAACAAACTACTTCCATAGAAACGAATTACTTCGCGGCGATAAACTTTCGAACAGGCCACGCCAGACCTGAGTATCGCCAGTCGCTCGTCACGCTTCATATAAGGTAAAGGTTTATTAGCATCAGCATTTATCTCCCTAGGTATCGAAGGATATGGACCCAGAACAAGGTATGGCTGTCCAGTATCCAAACACGAACAATTAGCGAGAAAGTATTCGTCCATCGCACCATCGTCAAAGTTTCAATGGGAACTAAGCAACACGCCTACCGGCAGTAAGAACAAACTAACTGATAAACTTTCGCTCAGGGTGAGATAGACCTTCTAAACATCGCCAATCGTTAGTCGAGCCGTAGAGTAGCCGAGAATTGGCGAGTGCCTCTAGAGGTATTCCAGGCGGATGGCATCTCCCCACGGGGGGAGTCTCCTAAATGAAAACCGCCTAAAGCAGTGTTAAATTACGCCTAAATTACTAAATTTATAAATTAAAAACCATTCCATAAGCTTACTGTAAGTATGTCATTTAGTTTTATACACCTCCTGTAAAATTTAATATTATGTAATGATACCGTTTCGTTCGCCAGCTCCTCATATATGATGTATTTTGTTATCAGACACAGCTTGGTAAAGATGCTGGATGGCAGCGAATTGGATGGTCCACCACCGTTAAGGAGAGCTTCTTCCGTCGCCACTGAACCCACTTCACACCCCACTCATCATAGGTAATACTAATTATAAAGCAGTTCGATGTATTTATCTAATACATAAAATTTTCGTGTCACGGTGTCCGTAATTGAACTACTCCGCAACGGCTCGACCGATTTTCGGGAAATTTTATATGCATAAACAGTAGGTCTGAAAATCTGACAACATCTATTTTTCATTCCCCTAAATGTTAAGGGTGGTCCGGTCCACCCTTAATTTGTTTTTGGACAAAAATTTTTGTTTTTATTTTTTTATGATACATCATACAAAAATACATACAACCCTAATTTTTCACCCTTCTACCACTAACCCCTTTTTTTATGGCGGTTCGAATTTCGCTGGGACCGCTAGTGTTCTATAATATCGTGATGTAAGAATACTATTGTGGTTATTTTATGAGTCAATAAATTAGTTTTTGATTACAAACTCGCGTAGATAGAGCTATCCAAATCAACCACGCAAAGAAAATGGCTCATGTTACGCGCAATGTGTGTGACTTAATGTCATATTGTTTTAAAGCAGTCGAGCGAATCTACCATACAAAGTTGATATTTTGTGGGACCCGACGCTTCCGTGCAGTTGATACGGCATATAGCCGTGTATATAAAAGAATAAAGGATTAAAAGCAATACGAACACCTACTTTAAATCCTTACTTACAAAGGAAAGTCAAAATTTACATCCTCACACTTATTTGAAAGTCGAGATTTACATCCTCACACTTACTTGAAAGTCAAGATTTACATCCTTTTACCTATATATTAACTCACACCTACTTAAAAGTTAATGTTTACATCCTTTTACCTACGTGTTAACTCACATCTATTTTAAAGTCAAGATTTACATCCTTTCACCTATGTATTAACTCGCACCTACAACAAACCGTCGACTTACATAATTTTGTCAGTGACTTACATAATTATGTCAGTGACATATGTCGACTTAGTGAAATAGGGCACTGATCGAGTGTCAATCAATAATAAAGCTGTTTTTTTTTAACTGGAGGATGACGGTGATGAGTCCAAAACAAAGCACATGACTGTACGTATTTATTATATCGTGCAGGTTAACACGCCGTGCTTCCTTGGACGATTTAGAGCAGCAGTCGTGCGAACTGGCCCCCAAAATCGACAACAGAATCATTATTTTGGACAAGAAAGAGGTAAGTAACATAATTCCAATTATACAACGTGTAACAGAAATAATGCACACCCTGAGAGTAGTTAGGTTAGGTTAGGAATAGGCTTCTAAATCGATTTCGATAAAAAAAATACAGAAATAAATTTACATTAATCATTATTAAACAAAAGAATATGATACACACATGATAGGGAATAATGACTATTTTTAAATGCAACAGTACATGAAAAAAATTTAGTTACATTGAGATATTACTGGTTAGAATAATGAAATAAAAATTACTGAAGTTGAATCATATGTATATTAGCCCAAGAAGCAGAGATCGCGGTTATACTTGATCTTAATGCAAAATTTTACCACACTCTAGTTTTTTTACAGATTTTAAGGTAGGTCATAAGAAGCTTAAGTTAAAAAATCGAGGAATGTAGGGTGGTCACACCGTGGCCGCCATATTGGAAAACGTGTTTATCGCTATATCTCCGAAACTATTTACTTTATGGAAAAAAAAAGAGTACTTTTTTGTTTATTACTAAATTCCCTAACTTTTTCGTCTTAAACTTTTTATTGTAACTCTTGCCGTTTTTTCAAATATTGTTGTTTATTTAAAAATCTTTGGTTTTTCCTTTATAAAACCTTAAAAATGCCATTAATTGATAAAAAAAACTCAGAAACTGCATCATTGCTACGTTAACGACTCGTAACTTGAAAAGTATTTATTTAATAAAAAAAAGTCTTGAAGTTGTAGGGAATTAAATAACCAATTACTTTTAGAAACCGTTTTTTATGAATTAATGGAATTTTTAAGGTTTTATAAACGAAAAACTACAAAAATGTTGAAATAAACAATAATAATTAAAAAACGGTAAGTGTTATAATATAAAGTTTTAGACAAAAAAGTTAGGGAATTTAGTAATAAACTTAAAAGCACACTAAATTTTTTCCGTAGTCAATAATTTCGGAGATATGGCCGCTGGTCGCGAAAAGTGATAAACGCGTTTTCCAATATGGCGGCCAGTGTAACCACCCTACATTCTCCAATTTTTAAACATAAGCTTCTTAAGACCTACCCTAACATCTGTAAAAAAACTAGAGTGGTAAAATTTTGATAATTCAATTCAATATCGTTTATTCAGTCCAGGCTGTTACAAGCAGTTGTTAATGTCGAAAAGCTACGACATCGGTTCGCAAATCTACGGCGGAAGACCTTGTACTGAGAAGAACCGGCAAGAAACTCAGCAAGGGCTGTTTTTTTTACCTGTATTATCTGTATATACAGAGTCGTCAAATTGTAAAATGACTTCAATATGAGGTAGCTCATAAAGTCACTTTACATTACAAATGCAATTAAAAAATTATAAAAACTGGTTTAACAAAGTTTAGGAATGCTGTGTTCTACTGTTTAGGCAAAAAAAAATTATTTGTTTTTGTCTATTGCTTGGGCTATATTTGTAACAAACTATTTTCAGGTGTCTGCGTTATTTCTGATACACGTTGTATATAAACTTTGATTAGCAGAATGTCACACTCTTCTATGAGCAAAATGTGCTCAAATAGAGGCATGATATTTTATCTTAATTTTTCAACGTTGTGTTGACAGTTGGACTATTACAAAACTTTTTGTAAACTTTCAAAAACGACACATGTTATTAAAAAAGGAAAAATATTGATATATACATACGAAAAGGTTAGGTGATAATTATATTCTGGGCTGGCAGGAGCTGAGCTTCTGGCTACTTTCCATTTTGTGGTATAATCTCGGCAGATCGATTTGACTTTTTTTCGTAGAATTTTCTTAACATATATCGCACGTTTAATGGGAAAGCTTTAAAGCTTGTCTTACCGATCTATATTATTCTATTTACATGCAAATATCGCTGGAGCATCGATAAACTTAAAAATCAGTCATATACTTAGTATACAAAAAAAAGTGCAAACTAGCCTTTGGTTGTACTCGATTCAACATTGACCAAAATACTGATAGGTCTGTACCCTTAGTACGAGTTTTACAATTACGAAAACTATGATAGTTTTCGTGAGCTCGCACTCGTACTAAGGGTACTAATTTTATTGTTTTCGTTTCTATACAAATAAACAGTGTTTAATGCACTTTAAATTCTATCATTAAATCATTTGCGTCTTCTTATATTTTAAGTATATTTGGTTACTTTGGAAAATAGAATAATACTATGATAGTTTTCGTAAACCCAAACTCGTACTAAGGGTACTGTATTCGAATAAACGTGATATATTTGTAGCCTATAGTGTTTCGACCTTAGTTTTTTTTTTTTATTTTCCATCAGAAACTGCCAGCTTTACTCGCGGAGAGGGCACGGTGGGAATCCGACACCGTAATTAGAGAAGTGGATGACGAGAATTCGCCATAAGATATGCCCTGCTTCTTCTACGGCTGTTTCCTGCCCTACGTCTTACTCGCACGGTATACATATAGTTTGCAATAGTAATTTATAAAGAGTAATTTAAAAAAAGTCACATGTTTAAAAATAACTATACAAATTTGAAAAATATCATTTGAGGAGCTGGCGAACAAAAATTTTTATGAGCTGTTATCGCTCATAAAAATTTGAGCCCAAGTAGAGCTTGTAAGTTTAATCCATTATCGGTTGTTTTATGAGGAACTGGCAAACAAAACGGTATAATTACGCATCTGGTCAAAATAAATTTGTTTTGAGGTTTCGGACCCGTTGAATTTGAATCTCAAATAATTTTTAATCAAAACCGCCTAAAACAGTGTTAAAATTACTAAATTTATAAATTCAAAACTATGCCAAAAGCTCACTGGAGGTATGTCATTCAGTTTTATGCAACATCTGTAAAATTTATTTTTATTTAATTGTACCGTTTTTTTCGCCAGCTCCTCATTTGTCACATCATAAATAGTGATTTATTGCCTTTGTAATAAGAGCGTATACTAGTTCAAATCAAATCCTTTATTTGCCCAAATATTGGTTTCAATTCCGGCGTGATTCTTATTTAACATCAGTCTCTCCTTTTCATTCGGTAAATAGAATTACAAGGATACACTGTTGTCAAATTTAAGTTTAGGTTTAGAAAATCATGCCAGAATTGACACCATTGTGTACCTACAATAATAGTTGTTATACAAGGTTTTGATCGACAATATTTACACCTTAACAATGTGGGCGTGCAAATATCTAGTGTCGATAAGTTTATTGATTTCAGATTATTCTTTACAATACCTTTAAGTCACACGGTAAAGCTGCACGGGTTGGAGACTGGGTCAGGATAGGTCAGGCGCGAGTGTTTTTTTTTGGTATCTAAAGCGTCTATAGACTATGGTGCCGCTTACCATTAAGCACCACCCTTTAACATAAAAAAAAATGACACAATAGGGTATTTGACTAGTTTTAGAAAACGATCTCACGTTATTTACTAGTTTTTGGTACCCATAAAAAGTGAATATTTTTAATTGTGCAGTGTAGTTAAAAAAACTAAATGTAAAATTCAATTTTAAAGTTGCCGCGAAAACTTTTCTGTTGACATTATGGCGTCTCACTAGTGTATGACGTCACACGATTGTTATTAAGACGTCAAACGATACTATGTAATACCACTTTGGCCAGTGACGTCATTTTAATCTTGGCCAATCCTAGGCCTTTTTCGGTCACGTGACCATGGAGCAAAAACGTCAATGACTTTATAGAAAAGTTATTAATTATTTGTACTTTCAGATAAGTAAAATGCAGGTGCCAACAAATTATTGGTACATTATTTTTAAAACTGTCAAATACCTATAAACATGAATCACTGAACCATCGTGGGTGGGAGAGACCTTTGCTCGAATTTATTCAAAGAAAAAAGTGACCTATTGCCATTGCAATAAGATTAATGGTCGTGAAAAATGTAATAATAAATAAATGTAGAAAATTTTAGAATACGCCCTTAGTTTTCGCGTCTTTTACCTTCATCTATATAGAGCGGGACGGATGTATTTGTATCGTTTTAAAGAACGATGTTTACCTATGTTAGAATTAGATTACGGGTCAAATGTCAAAAGTCGCGCAAAGGTATTATTTTGTATTTTCTACATAATTAAAATTATTTTTAACTGAGAGATAGGAGGATGTGTGCACAATAGTCACTAGTTTCATCATCAAGAACAAACGAAGTATAACATAACAGTAAGAAAAAAACGAAGAAATTATCCTTGGAACAAAAAGTACCTATCAAAGATTATTACTATAAAGTTTCCAATTATTTGTATTAAAAATGGTCAATAATATACTGTATAGCTTGCTAAACGTTACCAAATATTTTGCTACTTAAATAAATGTCTATCTACCATATATAGAAATATCTATAACAGATTATTACCATAGAGTTTCTAATTATTTTGCCTTAGAAATTATAAGCTATACTATACTAAACGTCTGTAACCAAATATTTTGTTACTTAAATGTCTATATATTAAACTAAACGCAGAAAATTTGTCGTCCGTGTCTTTATGAAAAAAACGAGTTAACGTGTTGAATGCAAGAAGATGTATGAGGCTAAATTATATACGAAATTTGATACTTATGTCCCAGTAATAAAGTTGCCTTTGTTAATTTATATTTAGCGAGTAGAATGAGAAGCAAGGAATATTAAGGTTAATATTTTAATAAGAGTTTTATTTCGATTCGGTGATAAACCAATAATAACGGTATTTAAAGCTGTGATTTATTTTAAAGTTCCAAGCGAAGTAAAAACATAATATTTAACGAACTAATTAGTATAATTTTCAGGCATTGAATTTCTATTGTAGCATATTAGTTGAATTTCTCAAAGTCATATTAAGTTGGTTTATTAACAGTATGAGATTATTTTTCTTAAGCAAACAGATTATATTACACTGTATTACCAAGTATTAAGAGTGGCTATTGAAAAGCAACCGCCTTAGCTCGTGCAAAACAGATATTCATATATTAAAGGTACAAAATTATTAGAACTCTGTGCCTCAGACATAAGAGATATTCTACTTCCACCTATTAGTGTCTGAGCTTAGTGTCTTTAATGTCTGAGCTTTATCTACCTCAGTAAAAGTATTACCAGATGAAAGGTGGTCTTCCGTTTAAACTTTTGCTTTCATGGTCATATTAACAAAAACGATAATTTTATATATTACCTACGTAAAGCACAACATAATAACCACGAAGTGTATTTTTAAACGATTTTGAACTATGTCTCAATGTCTTTAAATGTAAAATCTATGGGATTACTTTGCAGTTTCGGAAAGCCTTTCAGTAGTATCGACTTACAATTATTCGTGCTTTCATTATGAGAAAAAATAATCCTTCCATTTAGGAAAAATCAAAGATATTTTGAATTCTTCAAACGTCAAGGCTAGAATTGAATATAGGTTGCTAATAATATACATATCATAATTTGATGACACATATATTTTTTATTATTATTATGGGTATGAGTATTATATACCTCCGGACACAACTATCGGCCCACTTAGCGTTGTAAATTTCAACGGTCTGTAGCAAAAATATATGTTTTTAGTTGAGCGTTTATTATAAAAACACACAAAAAGCTTGTTAATAAATTAGTTTTCAGGTTTCGGTTTCAAAATTGCGTAGGTAAACTTTTGATGTGAAACATCTGCTGGCGCCTTAGATTAAAACAAAAAGCGAAGATACGGTACGCTCATACTTGCATCAAACAAAAACTGATCCCACGGCAGCGCGACCGGGACGGCGAGATCCGCGTCACTGCATTACCGACCCGAACGAAACAGCACGATAAGTTTCAACGGCAGCGCGAACGAGACGGCGAGATCCGCGTCACTGCACTACCGACCAATCACGCGACCAATACTCGACGTCACTACCGAAGAAGGTTCAAAACAAACAGCAATTTTTATGAAAAAATATATATTATAGTACTTACGAATGAAAAGTGATACCGTGGGTTTTATTTTTAGTTCTAGAGCAATTTGAGCACTTTTTAAAAACACACTTAGTGTTTTGTCATATAATCACAAAATATTAGGAATATTTCTTTTTGGCGTTCACATGTACGTCGTTTGCATGTCAAGTTGTGACTAAAGCGATTAGGGTCGTGGACCACAATTGGTGCGGATCACTTTTGTGAGGCTAGTGCCGTATCTACCCTTTTTGTTTTAATCTAAGGTTGGCGCAAGGTTGGCACACGTAAAACCGATTTCTGCTGTGTTCAACCACTCACCGATCAGTACGGCGCCAGCGCCTTTCGAGGCAGGATCTATGTCATTTTTTTACCGTACGCATCCCGAGCAACTCTCCAAGTGTATTTATCGTAAACCGGCTAGTGTTTCACATTTGCCAAGCGTCCCGTGACGGCTCACATTTTTATTCTAAATGTAACATTTAGTTTTTGTTAGGGCCTTTCAAAAATTAAAATGCTAGATGGGCCGATAGATGTTTCCGGAAGTGGAGTTACCTGTCTTGTGATGTATTATTACATTGTAGAATATCTAGAATAATACCAGTAAAATTGTTCTGTTTGTATTGTTTAGATAGGGACAAATAGATGTATCTAAATATCAATATTTGAAGAAATATTGTAGATAGTAGGTATGTCTGTCACAATTTAATATAATATACGCATACAACGTACGCAAGTCTTTATAAAAAACAAGATTAAGTTTTTGAAAATCTCAATACATAGTTTTTAAGATTGTTCGCTCATATATTTTCTCAAATATTATTTGAGCGATTTAGGTATATTGAAGGGTGTACTTCGGGGCAACAAAATCGTCTATAATTTTATATTGGGATTCTTTTTGTATTGTGAATTTCGTTTAAATGCAACTTTGTGGAAAAGTTGCTTAAAAATATTTTAATGTGACTTAAAAGTGTATTTATTATATCTCGATTTCTTTGTCCGGAAGAACATTTTGATGTTTTGTTTGTGATATGAAAGTGTTTAATTTTATAAGTTTTTGACATTTTATAAAAGTCTTCTTGTATTAACGTTATTCCAACTATAAATAACCTTTTCTTCTGCTTTATTACTAATATTCGCAAAAGCTTAACTAATAAAGTCTAGGAATTATTTATCTACCACTTTAAGGCGTAAATTGTGTGCGCTCTTACTCCATATTTCTAATATATTCCTCCAATTACAATTGTCACTTTGAAGCTATTATAGTCCTTAAAGTGTTAGAGTAGTCTTCCCTTTTAGGACGTCGTTGCCTTAATATATACCAGCTTCTTTTGCCTGTATAAGTCGAAAGTGTATTGTATATCATTTAATTGATAGCCAATTATTTTGTAGATAATAAAACTAATCTCAGACTAGAAACACAATTCAGAAGATTTTATCATGATGTCGATATTGGCATAATTCTCTAAACTTAAAAAACCTACACCCATTTCGA